GGATTCTTCAGTCTTTGTTAGGAGGTCTGGCTCCTCTGCAGAGAAGTTCTCCCTGTTGCAGAATCTTCTCTTGTTTCCTTTCTGGGGAGATTTCTACAAATCCAGACACTTTAGAAAGGTTTCCATTTCCCAGAAAACTTTAACTCTCTCATCACTGTGATTGTTACAATAATTTTTTTTTTTTGCTCAGCAAGGTCATAGCTTCCCTTCACCAAATGCCACAACAGCTTTTTGAAGGTATATATAATTCACGGTATGTATAATAGCTGTATATGATCTATAATAATTCACGGTTTATAGATGAGAAAATGGAGACACTGAGTAATAAGGGACTTCTCCATGTTTGGGGTAGAGAGGGAGCCACGATGAAAACCCAGGTTGTCTGATACCTCAGTGTGCTCCTCTCTCTCAACATATATATCTTGTAGTTAGCCTTAACTTGGCTCACTCTCAAGAGAGGTAGGAGAGCTTCACACTTTAGACCAGGGGTGTCCAATCTTTCAGCTTCCCTGAGCCACGTTCAAGGAATAATTGTGTCGGGCCACACATAAAATACCCTAACACTGACGAAAGCTGATGAGCTCAAAAACAAAAAATAAGAAACGCAAAAAAAGCCCTCATTGTAATAATTACTTTTTGAGGCAGATTCTCTTTATTTATTTATTTATTTTTTTGAGACGGAACTTCGCTCTTGTTACCCAGGCTGGAGTGCAATGGCATAATCTCGGCTCACCGCAACCTCCGCCTCCTGGGTTCAGGCAATTCTCCTGCCTCAGCCTCCTGAATAGCCGGGATTACAGGCACGCGCCACCGTGCCCAGCTAATTTTTTTTGTATTTTTAGTAGACACAGGGTTTCACCATGTTGACCAGGATGGTCTCGATCTCTTGACCTTGTGATCCACCCGCCTCAGCCTCCCAAAGTGCTGGGATTACAGGCTTGAGCCACCGCGCCTGGGTCTCATGTTTTAAGAAAGTTTACAAATTTGTGTTAGGCCGCATTCAGAGCCATCCTGGGCTGCCCGTGGCCTGTGGGCTGCGGGTTAGACAAGCTTGCTTAAGACCTTACTGTAGTGATATTAAAGGAAACTCTAGGAGGTGGTGAAGAAATGCAAGAGTTTGAGGCAACTGAAGACTCCGGTTTGCCCGTCTGAGAAACAGAAGCATCTGCTGTGTGGTGAAAAGGGTCACCTTCCATGTTTGAGACTTGGGACAGAGTGACAGCATCCCCTAAGTTCTGAGCGGCAGTAGCATCCACAGCTCTGAGAAGTCAGATCCCTGTACTACAGGATAGGAGTTGATCAGCAGAGAAAGGAACAGGGCACAGTCAAGGGCTGGGACCAACAAGTCCAGGAGTTTGCCTGGGGTACCATCAGCCATGAGGACTTGACTCAGTCGAGCTGGAGGGGATCTATGCTGATGCCCTTGGGCAAGAAGGCATCATGAGCCCTCTGGCCCCTGCAAAGTGGTGGCTTGGCATTTGGGTAACTCTGTTCCCTGTCCCGTTTGTCCATAAAGACATATGGGCAGCATTTCTGCTGCGTTGCTTGCTTTTTTTTTTTTTTTGGAGACAGTCTCACTCCCTTGGCCTCCCAAAAGGCTGGAGTACAGTGGCGTGAGCTCGATTCACTGCAACCTCCACCTGCTGGGTTCAAGCAATTCTCCTGCCTCAGTCTCCCTACTAGCTTGGACTACAAACATGCATGCAATGCCCGGCTAATTTTTTTGTACTTTATGTAGAGACAGGGTTTCACCATGCTGGCCAGGCTGGTCTTGAACTCCTGACCTCATGATCTGCCTGCCTTGGCCTCCCAAAGTGCTGGGATTACAGGCGTGAGCCACCGTGCCTGGCTGCTTGCATTTTTATCTTGGCTACTCTCCCTCAATGGTGATCGCCACTTGACCCCTCTCAGACATAATCATTAGTGCTGTGGGGAGTGGTTATTAATATCTCAGAGTTGTCACATGGTTAATTTAGAGGAGATAAACAGCTTTGCAGCTTTCATCTTCTCCAAATAAGAGATAGAAAAACAAAATTGCAGGCACCAAAATAGATATTTCTGGATAACAGCGTCTAACATGAGAATGATGCTGAGATTTTTCATTTATTTTATACGCTATGAAGTCAAATCATTTACAGGCAAAAACAAACACACTATTGAATTAAAGAAAAAAAGCACCCAGATTATTTTAAAATGATAACTCTTTATATGTATCTGGCAAAACTAGTTGAGCTGAAAAAAAATTTAGCAGGGAGTGGGGAACATGATGGCTTCTGTGTTTCAGAAGATGCTGGGCTGGGATAGATGGTCTTCACTGGGTTTTGAACCGGCCCATTGCATGCACATCATTTCAACCCTCAGTTTACCCTTTGGCCAGTCAACTCATCACCTGGCAACAAGCTGGGTACAAAAGAATATGGCAGGATGTAAGAGTCTCGGCTTGCAAAATCAACACCATCTCATGCCAGTCAGGATGGCTATCATTAAAAAGTTTCAAAGTAACTGAAGTTGGCAGGGCTGCAGAGAAAAGGAAACACTCATACACTATGGATAGGATTGTAAATTAGTTCGGCCTCTGTGGAGAGTAGTTTGGAGATTTCTCAAAGAACTGAAAATGGAATTACCTTTTGACCCAGCAATCCCATTACTGGGTGTCTACTGCCCCCACCCCACTGCAAAATTAAATTGTTCTACCAAAAAGACACCTGCACTCACATGTTCCTCACAGCACTATTCACAATGGCAAAGGCATGGCATCAACCTAGGTGCCCATCAGTGGTGGACTGGATAATGAAGATGTGGTACATGCATGTTGAGATTTACTCAGGGTGGCTGGCAAAATATTATGGAAAATATTAGGGAAAGTTATAGATTACAGTCCCAAACCTTTTGGAAGGCCAAAAGGTTTTATTGGGACAGGCTGAAGGCAGTCGTTTCATTACATTAGCATAGGAAAAGATAGAGATGATAAGAGGCTTTCCCAGGGAAGTCTGTTTACCCCACATCCCTTTGTCTCTACCCCAACTGTTTACTCATGTAAACTTTGTGCTGGATGGGCCTCTCAAGGCGAGATCAAAGGGGAATTACCTGTTAACAGGTAATTTACTGTGGGCCTGGAACCTAACGCTTTTATCATTCATATAACCACTCTTTTAACCATGTTAATTATCCACAAGTGCGTTTAGTTAGAACCTCTGTTGTAAAATTCATACTGAATAAATGTAACAATGGAGAGGGAGTCTGGAGTGATTTGTTGCATTTCACACTCTGAAAGCAGCCAACGGCCATCTCTAGCCCACTTGTATCACTGCAGTGGTGTGAGAGTACATTCACTCATCTGTCATTCAGTCAGGGTCTGCAGGTGAGACTTCTGCTGGTGGTGGTCAATGTCTCATATAAACACCATGGAATACTATGCAACCATAAAAAAGAGCAAAATCATATCCTTTGCAGCAACATGGATGCAGCTGGAGGCCATTATCTTAAGTGAATTAACACAGAAACTAAAAACCAAATACTGCATGTTCTCATTTATAATTAGGAGCTAAACACTGGGTATTCTTGGACATAAAGATAGGAACAACAGAAACTGAGGGCTCCAAAAAGGAGGGAGGGAGAGAAGCAAGGGTTGAAAAACTGCCTATTAGGTACTGTGTTCACTATTGGGTAACAGGTTCCATGGAAGCCCAAACCTCAGCATCACACAATATACCCATGTAATAAACCTGCATGTGTACCCCATGAATCTAAAATTAAAACTTTATAAAAGGATGGTGGCATGTGGAAGGAGCCCTGATCCATTACCTGCTAGTATAAATGTCTAGGCTTGTCCTTTGACCCTTGTATGTCTTTGTTGCCAAAGGGGAGAATATCTTTCCCCCGCAGAGATGAATCAATGCACACGTGCTATGTAAAGGCACAAATAACCCACATGAATTTGTTATTTCTCATTAGTGTGGTGGCCTCCCTGTTCTTTCTGTTCACAGCTTGCTGCCTTTAGCACCGTGGACCACTTAACCCATCTGATCCCATTTGTTTCCTGGGAAAATAATTTATTCATCAAAATGAGAGAAAGAACAGCTAGGGCCAGAGAGATACCAATAGGAAGCAAACAGGTATTGAACTGTTGATTCATTTCTGAAACTAAAGATGGACGTGGTTCCGTTTTAAACACAGTGTTTCTGGGTCAGGAAACAGAAATAATTGCTGTCTTATTATTTCTAGCTTTCTCTATATGAATGCGATGTGTTCCAGAGGACTCAGTTTAGCAGAGCAGACAGAGGAGGACTTTTGTGGGTATCTGGGTTCTGCGGGCATCCTGTGATCTGTGCAGTGTGCAAAAGCCATTAGCAGTCTACACCACGGCAGGCTTGTATAATCACCTCTCCAGGGTCTTAGCTGAAAGTCTTGAGATGTGAGTCCCTGTTTTAGACTGGCTCACTAAGAGCCAATTCTGCCAGAGCAGATTAAAGGTGTGAGTGGTAAAACAAATCTCTTCCTCTTTTAAAGCCATCTTATCCTTGCCTTTTGAAGATGACATGGCTAAGCTACAGCCACCAGCATGTAAACTAGAAGCTGTTTCTCAGGGGCAGAGAGGGATTTATCCTGTTTCATCCATACGTTCTGGTCTACGGCTTACGCAACGATTCTCAGGCACTTGGCCAAGTTCAGAGGACTGGGACTCAGCAAACTGGCTGAGAAAGGAAGCGACACTTGTTGGGCTAGTCAAATCCCAGAGGTGGAGGCAAAGATAGGGAAATGGGAGGGCCCTTGGAGGAAATGCTATCTAGCCTTGCTTGATGGCAAAGCTCTCATAACCGGTCATTTTAATAACGGCAGTTTTTCATCAGTGGCACCACCTTTCCATTTAACAACATTCTTAGCACTTGCTTTAGGGAGAATGCTAATAGGATTAAGGAATAGAGGGAGACACCAGGGTGCTATGGACGGCACAAGACAGTCAGGATTCAAGAAATATGGCGAAGCACAGTGGTTCATACCTGTCATCTCAGCACTTTGGGAGGCCAAGGTGGGAGGATTGCTTGAGTCCAGGAATTTGAGTCCAGCCTGGGCAACACAGCAAGACCCTGTCTTTAAAAAAAATAAATATTTTTTATTGTCATCTTCAAAAGGCAATAAATAAATAAATATTTTAAAAGGAAATATAAATAGGTAGATAAGCAAACACACACATATATACTCTCTCTCTCACACTGGCCGTGCCTCTTTCTATCATTCTACAAAAAGGCTTTGAGAAGGCTTCCAAGAATATCATCATTCTTATAAATAGGAAAATAGTGTCAAATTCTGGCATATGACATATATGTAGAAAATTTAGAAATAATAGAGGGACACATCTAGTTGAAATCCAAGAATTTCATATAATTCCATCAGGCAAAAGGATAGGTATTAAAACTAAAATTGAGGAGAGAGTCCTGGCCACCAAAAGGAAATGAAAAATACAATTTATTATTACAAATACTCATTGTTCCTCTTCTTCCTCCCTGAAAGTATATATATATATATATATATATATATATATATATATATATATATTGGAACAAAAAGATTTTTTAATTATAAGAAAATACTCTATACATCTTTATTGTTAAATGTAACACAATAGCATAAGAAAATATGAAACTCATTGATAAAGGTAAGTGCATATACAAATATATATGGACTACTATATTACTATATAATACTAAAATGGTGGTGGTTAAATCCCATTTCATTCTAGCATAAAAGTTAAAAGATAAAAGAATTAAAATAACTATACTTTAATATATGTGTATGAATACACAGTATAAATAGATGTAAATTGTGACATCAATAACACAGTGTGGTGAGAGATAATTAAAAGTGTAGAGTTTTTGTATATGATTGAAGTTGTTATCAGCTCAAAACAGCCTTATAATTATAAAGTATTTTATGTAAGCCTCATGGTAACCACAAAGGAAATACCTATAGAAGTTTACACAAGGCCGGGGGCAGTGGTTCACGTGTGAAAGTATATTAATTCTTCAGGATGAACCAAAATTTGCTAGACCAGTGAGTTTAAAACTTTCTCTTTGACATGGGGCTTCCCAGAAAGGACAAAGCAGCAGCTTCAGTATCATGTGTACAGCACTACAGCAGTGAGTTTTGGAGTGGGTCCTTCTACCATTCCTCAGTGTGAGTAGAGAGGCCATTTAGGAAAATCTCTTCTGTTGCAGGAGCGGAACAATATACACCTTCTCAATGATTGGGTCTAGTGCTCTTCAGGCTTTGATGTGGATCAGAATTACTTGGGCAACTTTTTTTTTTTCCTTAAATATAGATTCTTTGGCCCCTTGTTAAGAGTCAGAGTGAGCAAATTGGCGTGGGCATCTGTGTTTTTAATAATCTCCCTAGTGATCCTTGCACCCGCCCAAGACTGAAAACTCTTGGTCTGTTTGGATGCCAGAACTCTGAAAGCCTTGCTATGCCCCTGGGTCCACCAGCTGGCATTCCGCACTGGGGGAATTCTTTTCAGATTTGCTTAACTTAACGTGTTAAGATACATTAGGCAATTGCTTGCAGGGATGCCCCACTGGACTTTCCCAAGTAAACAACCAAATCAATGATCTCCAGACATTTAAAGCTTGATTTTTACATACCAGATCAGCAAGTACAGGGAAACCTCCCCCATGTCTTGAGTTTTAGCAGATTTCAATTGCATAGCATGAATTAAAGTTGTATTCATTAAACACCAGGAATGTAACTATGTTTGGGAAGATGTAAGTGCTTTCCCCTGCGGCTAGGAAGAAAGGCATATCAGAATCTCCACTGGATTCATTCGCCTTTCTCATTGTCACTTTTCCCTTCCCAGGGTGTTTTGTTTGTGTCTATATGAGGCTCCCAGTTCAGCAATGTTGATGAAATGACCAGTTGAAAATGAGTCACTTTGGTTAATAAAAAGTTAATTCAACTGGTGACATCAGCGAGATGGCAGAATGACTTTCCAGCTCTTATACCCTTCTAGAAGCATTAATTTGAACAACCATCGTATATGAAAATACCTTCACAAGAGCTCAGGAAACCAGGTAACAGACTACAGCCCTGGATATTATGCAGAAATAAGAAAAAACATGGCAGAGGGTAAGAAGACAGTTTAACATCACTCGTATCACCCTCACTTCGAGCTCTGGCAGCACAACATGGAGAGAGAAATCCATCCTTGCAGGGTTAGGAGAGTAAAGTGAGGGCAAGACTTTGCCTTGGACCCTGACACTGTTTCATTCCAGTACAACCCCATGCCCGGCAGTTCCCTGCAGCCCCAGGCTCCAGGTTTGCCCTGCAGACTCAGCCTCCAGGATTACCCCAGCCCTAGGTTAGCTCCCACAGCCTCAGGCTCCAGGCTCAATCTACCATCATGCTGGCCCCAGGTTCTACATGGGCCCCACAGACCTAGTCTCCAGGCTTGTCCCACTGCCAGACCGGCCACTGAAGCCCTAGATTTCAAGCCAGCACCCATAGACTGAGCCTTTAGACCTCAATACTAGGCCAGTCCCTAAGACCCCTGGCTCTGGAGTAGTTACCTATTCAGTCTCCAGACACACCCCAACATCAGTCTGGCCCCAAATACTTAGGCTATGGATCACTCCCAGCACCAGGCCAGCTCTCATAGCACCAGACTCCAGGTCAGCACCCACAGACTCAGACTCATGGCCCATACCAGCACCAGGTTGACACCTGAAGACATCTACTCCAGGCCCAACCCAGCATTAAACTGGCCCCCATAGGACCCAGTCTCCAGGTCCATGCCAGAGCCAAGCCAGCACCTACAACCCCAGGATCCACACCAACCCTTGTGGACATAGCTTTCGGGCCAGCAACTGCCCCCTAGCCTCCAGGCAGGCTCCCATAGACTCAGGCTTTAGGTCTGCCCCAGTGTAAGGCCAGCCCCTATAGATTCAAACATCAAGCCCAAATGAATAATTCAAAACAATCATCTTAAAGAGATTCAGTGAGTTACAAGATAGACAACTAAATAAAACGAGGAAAACAATAGGACAACTACAGAGGAGCAACTGAATAAAACCAGGAAAACGATACACAGACAAAACGAACAAAGGGATGGGAAAATGAAAAGAACCCAACGGAAAGTCTGCTTAGTGAATATAAGGCCTGAACTAAAAATTTGGTAGAGAACTTCAACAGCAGACTGGATCAAGCAGAAGAATCAGTGAGCTCAAAGACAATTTAAATTTAAAATCATCCGGTTAAGAAAACAAAAAGAAAAAAGCATAAAAAAGGGCAAAGAATGCCTACGAGAATTATGAGACACCATCATTCAAACCAATATATGTACTATAGGTTTGCCAGAGAGGACAGAGAAAGAGAAAAGGGAAGATAGTTTACTTCGAGAAATAATGACCAAAGAATACCCAAGTCTGAAGAGGGAAATGAACATCCAGATTCATGCCTCAGATAGATTAAGCGTAAAGAGATCTGCACTAGAATACAATGTAATCAAATGATCACAAGTCAAAGACAAAGAGAATTTTGAAAGCGGCAAGAGGAAAATGATTCTTCACATACAAGGGAAACTGCCTAAGACTTTCAGTAGATTTTTCAGCAGAAACCTTTCAGACCAGGAGAGAGTGAGATGATATATTTAAAGTACTGATAGAAAAAAAAAACCATACTGCCAACCAAGAATGCCAGTAAGTCTGTCCTTCAGAAATGACAGAGATAAGGAATTTCCCAGGCAATCAAAAGCTGTGGGGCTTGATCACCACCAGAACTGCCTTACAAAAAAATGCTAAAGGGAGTTACTTAGCTGAAAGAAAAGGACACTAATTACTAACATGAAAGGACAAACAAATATAAAACTCGCTGGTAAATATAACTATATAGCGAAAATCAGCAAACTTTAATACTGTAATGGTGGTATGTAAATCGCTTATATCTTTAGTATGAAGGTTGAAAGACAAAACGTAAAAATAATGAAGCTCCTGTAATCCCAGCACTTTGGGAGGCTGAGGCGGGTGGATCACTAAGTCAAGGGATCGAGCCCATCCTGGCCAACATGGTGAAACCCCGTCTCTACTAAAAATACAAAAAATTAGCTGGGCATGGTGGCACGTGCCTGTAATCCCAGCTATCCGGGAGGCTGAGGCAGGAGAATTGCCTGAACCCAGGAGGCAGAGGTTGCGGTGAGCTGAGATCGCGCCATTGCACTCCAGCCTGGGTGACAAGAGCGAAACTCTGTCTCAAAAAAAACAAAACAACAATAACAAAAAACAAACGATAGCTACAATAATTTATCAATGGATACACAGTATAAAAAGACGTAAATTGTGACACTGTAAACACAAAATATGTGTGGGAAGGTAAAAGTATAGTTTTTAAATGTGATCAAAGTTAAGTTGATATCAGCTTAAAATAGTCTGATATAGCTATAAGATGTTTTATGTAAGTCAATTATGGTATCCACAAAGCAAAAATCTATAGTAGACACACAAAAAAAAGAAAAGAAACCAGTCCGGGTGTGGTGGCTCATGCCTGTAATTTCAGCACTTTGGGAGCCCAAGGAAGGCAGATCACTTGAGGTCAGAAGTTTGAGACCATCCTGGCCAACATGGTGAAATCCCATCTCTACCAAAAATACAAATATTATTCAGGCTGGTGGTGTATGCCTGTAATCCCGGCTACTCATGAGGCTGAAGCAGGAGAACCACCTGAACCCAGGAGGCAGAGCTTGCAGTGAGCTGAGATTGCACCATTGCACTCCAGCCTGGGTGACAGAGTGAGACTCCATCTAAAAAAAAAAAAAGATAAGGAATCAAAGCATAGCAGTAAAGAAAATCACAAAGGAAGACAACAAGTGAAGAAGAAAAGAGCAAAACAACTACAAAACAACCAGAAAATAATGAACAAAATGGTGTTAATAAGTCCTTACCTATCAATTACCACCTAAAATGTAAATGAATTAAATCCTTCACTCAAGAGATATAAAGTGGCTGAATGGATTAAGAGACAGGATCCAACTGCATCCTGTCTTTAAGAAGCTCACGTCACCTTTAAAGACACACACAGATTAAAAGTGAAGAGATGGAAAAATATAT